CCCCCCCCAACGCTGCACCATTGCACCAATCCCCCACTAGTGATGACGTACCATTGCAACGTATCGCTGGTTGGTGGCCATGTTTGCGTGTTTGCTTGTTCGTTTTTGGTCTCTCCACCGTGTGCCTTTCTCTGTCTCGTATTTCTTGTTAGTTTCGGTCTAATCCCTTTTTGTCCTCGCTCTTCTTCGTTTTATTTTCTCTTTCTTGCCTGTTTCCTTTCATTTTTTCTCTCTTTTCTTTTTTTCTCCATGTACCCTGGATGCCTTTGCGATATGGTGGTGGATGGCAAAATGCCTCAACAGAAAAAATATAGCAAGTAGTACACGGACACATGGCCACACCACATGCCCATGCCCAAGCAGCCGCGCCCAAAAGGGGCGGTGTTTACCATGCGACGCGCGGTGCCGGCAATGAACCAAGCACCCAACTCACCGGGACCAACGCTGTGACCTGCACACTCTTCAAGTGGGCATACTCCCTGTCGCACTTGGGGCATGCGTCCTCGAGAATCGCAATCTCGGCTTCCGCCTCCAAACTGCCACACTCTCCATCTCCCGACAGGGCTGCAAGGACGTGGACCGGGTATTTGCTGCTGCCGAACATCCTCAGCAGCTGTTCTACCTTAACTACAAACCCCGGCGCATTACGCTTGTACTCCACCGCCCCTGAACCGATGCCCTCATCGCCTGAATCTTCGCCGCTCCCGCCGTCAAAGTGGGGGGAGCTGCTCCCACAATCGCTGCCCATGACGCCCAACCCCACAATGTGCGTATGCACGCATTTGCCGCTAGAGCCTTTCTTGGACGAGGTGCACCCCGTCCCCCCATTCGCCTATGATCAAAGCCAAGTGACGGGCGCCAGGGGGTGGGCAGTTGGTGGGACACAGGTTTGTTGTATGAAAACAGTCAATGCTCCGTGCGCTACGATGCACACCCTCTTGAAAGCACCGCAAGTATCATCATTCGCTGCTTCTTTTCCTTTCCCACGAGCTATCCTCAGGGGAAAAAACTGTTCGGGGTGTCAAAGCAGCAAATTTCCTGTAGGAAAAAAATTGAAAAAGTGACCTCGGATCTTCCTGATGGAAAATCGACTGACCAATGAAATTGCACGGAACGGTCCGAAAGTCCCCTAAAAACACCTGACGCGCACGCGCGAGGGCGCCGCTCGTGTGTGTGCTCTGATGTGCCCTGCTGTGGGACACCACAAAACACCTTTGCGCGGTCCCACTCAACAACACATGCCTCATGACACACCCGAGCAGCAGCCGGGCGGTGAAGCCACGCAGACACCTGCCGTCGCCGCTGCTGAAAAAAACAGCAGCAGCAGCAGCAGCAACGGCGGCGGCGGCAGCGAGGTTTAGCCTGGCTTTCTTGCACAATTCTCTTACTTTCGACCAACTCCTTCTTCGTTTCCTCCAGCGTTCTCTCTACGACGGTGAGGCTGCCGCGTTCGATAGCGCGCCGCGTGTTATCTTCTGCTGACGCGGCAACCATACACTTCCCCGTCCTCTCTTCAAACTTCGTTTTGTTTTGATCCAGCTAACGCGCAGCGCGCCTCCTGCTGCCGAACGGCGCGGACCTCGATTTTTTTGGGGGGGGAAGGTCTGCTGGTGTGGGCGCTGCAGTCCCACTGGAGGGACCGTTTTCAGACAAGTAGATCTCGTGGTTGGCTGATGCGATTCGGATGCGGTTTGTTGTGTGGTAAAGCTGTAAACCCAAGGTAGAGGGCTGTAAGCTCGCTTTTCGAGTGGAGCAAAAAGCTCAAAAAAGCATGTTTTTTGTGTTGTTCGTTCGCCCTTTGACTTTAAGATAAAACCGAGCTTACAGTCGCCTCTATTTGACGTGTGTCCAGGTGTGTGTAACGTATGAAGAGCCACGCTGCTGCCTGGGCGCAGAACTATCTGCACAAACAAACTGAGCGATGTGGTGTTTAATCAGTATAATAGGCGGGCACCCTCAAGAGCCGGAAAGAACCCAATCCGTGCGTCCCCCCCCCAAATCGCTGAATAGACCGGTCACATTTTTGGCTCCAAAATCTGCCCGATTGACATCCCTAACTGTAGGTCGGGTAAACCACGATATTTACCATTCGAGCTAGAAAATACAGGCACCGATATTGCTGGCGTGATTTGCACAACGAATTTGAAGGTTGGGTGGGAAAACATACACAACAGAAGCGCTCTACATACAGTCAATCTAGAGCTCCGAAAAAAAAAAAGTCACGCATCGGCAGGAGTAGACTATCACCTTGCACTGGATCTGCTTCCTTAGAGTGGTCCGCCTTTTCGTTGATGGCGCTTTCTTCGACCCAGTTGGTTGCGGGAAATCCGTCTCGACGTGTGCCCAGCCGCCAGGAATAGACCGATGACCCGGATGGTACACAACATACGTCTGAGTCTCGCCAAAGCGCATCAACAGCGGCACCCCATGCTCCTCTGCAGTCGCTGTCATCCTTAGAATGGTGTCAAAGCTACCCTGAGTCAAAACCATTTGGGTTCTCGATGCATCCCCAACGCTTTCGATCCCTTCCCGATCCTTGCCAAAGATAACCGGCTCTGCTTCAGGAATATCCGCCTTCGGAGTGGTCCCATCTCCGACAATGACGTCAGCGTGCTCACATTGGCCCGCTGCAATCTGCTCGGCGTTTGGCGCTTGCTCGGGTTCCGATTGCGCACTGCAAAACCACACGAAAGCAACCATGAAAGTGACAGTGTGTCATTAGAAAAAAAAAAAACATGCCGACGAATTGATGACTAATTTATGATAAATTTAGCAAGCAGCAATTATCGATAAATAAAATGAGAGTGCTGAACGGCCGTGCCCCTATCTGTGCCCTGCAAATGCCTTTTCTTTTCCCCATGAGTTATAATTGCGTTGGGTTGCAACAAAAAAGGTGTAGTTTCGATAGCAGCTTTGCCGGTGAGAAGGAAGAGTATCAAACACCACACAAGCAGTGTTGTTTCGTGACATCCCCCAACAACTACGTACATCGACTCACTTGTGGCATCGGTTATCGCAACAGTCCACGATGCAGCTTGCAGGCGCACCAGGTTGCTCGGCGGTGACGTCGGTGATGACCATGACACGGTCGCCGCGGGCGGTAATGGAGACCGAAAACAGTGCCTTTTCTCTATCTCTAGAGTTGCCCGCCGCGACCGTGAGAGGCAGACGGAGCATGAAAGCGCTGGGTTGAGTCTGTCGGTGAACCACTCGAGAGAAGCTACTCCCGTGGATGTGGCCGGCTTGAGCTCGTTTGGATGCCCCTCGCTTATCAGCTTTCTTCTTGTTGCACCTGTACGAGTACGAAGCATGTGATGGTGGGGAAAATAGAGGGGGGGAAATGAGTATACTTGCAGTACACACGCCGAGAACAGGTCACATTGTGGACGCTTCGATCTTGGTCGCACTGCGAGAGGGTGAAACTCTAAGAAACACCGATGGTCAAGCAACTAGAAAAGTTGGAGTCGATATAGATCAACAGCAACAGTCCCGGAACAGCTAGGTGGAAACATGTGACAACTCTACCAGACGGCGAGAGCGCTGTGGAAGTCCAGATAATGTTGCATATTGGGTGGTATCGAAACAGGTGAAACCCACATGCGCGGCAAGTATCCGAGAACTCGATCTGGCACGTCACTCTTGGTCACATCATGAAACAGAATTGCAAATGAGCAAAGAAACTGAACAGCGGAAAACGAAATTGGGTACTCACGCGTGACACCGACATGCCGATTTCGCCTTGGTATCGCAGAAGCAGCAAGTGAAGCGATCGTTGTTGAGGTCGATCATCCCATGGTCGACGTGGCAATGCCATCGTTTGAAATACCCACGACAAATCTAAGTAACCGTCTTGCTTCTCGATTAGCACCAGCTCCGCTTCGCCAACGTAGCAGTAGCCAGCACGATGACAGGGACGGGCTTTCCGCTGGAGGCATCCTTTAACTTCCCCTCCGACCCCTCATCTTCCTCCTCATGACTGCCTGTCCCTGAGCCGTGCGGTACACCATGCTGCAAAGCCAGATGTAAACCATGGCCGATCAGGGCGTCGCCGACAAGCCACCTGCCGTCCTCTGGTGCACAGGCAACGGCAGCGGCGGGAGTGGCTGACGTACTCGTCCAACCTGCTGCAGCTGTACCACGGCCCCGCCAGCTGCGCCCTGCTGCGCCATCAATAGCCGTGGCGGTGACAGTGGCTGCGGCGGCGGCGGGCATACCCCTCCAAAGCAACCGGCGGCTGACAGCTGCTGCCGCTGTTGCTGCTGCTAGGGCTGCTGCGGCTGCTGTTGCTGCGGCTGCTGTTGCTGTCGCTGCTGTTACGGTTGCTGCTGTTGCTGCTGTTGCGGTTGCTGCTGGTGCTACTGTTGCTGTTGTTGTTGTTGCTGCTGCTGCTGCTACTGCTGCTGCGGCCGCCACTGTACTGCGTTGGCTGGGCGCTGCCGTGGTGGCAGCATTGCTCCAAGTTGGCATGGCTGCGCTCCTTCCTGTACCTCCGAACGTAGCAGTGGTGCACTCGGCCCGTACGTGCCGGTAGAAGAGCAGTATCCCGGTCCCGTAGCCACTCCAATGGCAGACGAAAGGGGCGTATGTGTTTCCGCGAATTCGGAACCATCACCTGATAGCTCCTCGAGCGTCCCCAAGGCTTCCGATGCTTGGGAGATCTGCACAGCTGTACGAGGAACGAGTGCGACACCCGGCCGCGACGGTCACCGGCCCGTTAGCCCTCGCATGAATTTCTTGCATCTCGTCCCAAACTCCCCCGGGATGATGGGCTTGGCGACGCGTGGCGTTTCGCTGGTGGTGATTCACGTTCACTCACACTTGTGCGAGTCGCTCCGATAGCCGCAGGAGAATTGCAAGGAAAGGTGTTGACGACGGAGGGTACACCACCAAGTGCGCCGCCAGCCGACAGATGGGAATTGTCCAACGGCTCGCTACCGGAGGAGATCGCTGTCCGTTCTCGGGGGGGACTGATACCTTACGCCTGGTATTGCTGCAAGGAGTTGAAATCCTCTGTGTTCGTGCATGGGGCTGCGGGCAAGGGGTGCGACACCGGCAGCGATCAGCCCCACCATCCACGCAGTCATTCGCGCCTGCATCATGATCAGCATCATGATTCACGCCGCCAGCAGAGCGCGTGCTCGGCAGCATGCCGCTCACCTCCTTGCATCAACGACTGACCGCTGCTACGGTGTCCAACGGTGGGAGCCACGTTATGCAATACTTCCATCTAGAGGCTACGTGTCGATAAGGCAGCACGGCTGCCCTGTCCGTCGTGGCACGCGCACCTCGTGCGCGGCGTGCGGAGAAATGTACCTCTAGCACAGCGCCAGCCAGGGTTCAGCTCCCAGGGTTTTCCCACCCCAGCAGAGCTTTCTGAACAGAACCAAAGGAGCTTCACCGAGGGAGCGCGCGCAAGCGCATCTCCAACCAATGAGGAGACAGCAAGCTTAGACGTAATGATCCTTTCGCACGGATGGTAAAATGTACTGCTGCTGGTGCATATGCTCACGGAATCTTGTCGATGTCGATACGCGTATCATCACGGCAAAGAAGTCGTGCGTCATCAGCCCCCCTGTGCTTGGCGGCGGAGAGGATTCGGCTGCTTGACAAACGGACGCCCAAAAACGTGAGAGACGATCTGATGACAGATCCGGAGGTTGGCCTTGAGTCTGTTGTTGTTGTTGTTGTTTCTCACATTAGCTCTATACTGCTGTAAGTATCCCGGGACGCGGGGAAACAAAAATAGGGCACAAACCACTCGGAAAAAGAACACAAAATGATAGAAACAACAGGTTTCGTAGGCCTTGAGTCTGTGTGTGTCCACCAGTCCGCCAAGGTTAGAAGGTAGCCGACCTGACGCCATGCTTGCTATCACCGTGGTTCATGGATCCAGACCTTCATGGGGGCGAAAAGCATTCCATTATCTTGTGGATGACAGGTGTAGCAGAGCTGTAACCATTATTGCAGATATTACGTCGTAAAAAAGTAGATCTGACATACGATCCGAGCGGAAGATCAATTAAGGAGAAATAAATACGCGCACAGAAAGACTACCCATTCGAGATATACCCACAGTCGAACGTTATGTGGTGGAGTCTTTTCAGTAAGTGGAGGAAAACCGGCTGATCTTAGACTAGACTTGATGTTGTTGTTGTCTTCACATTAGAAACCGTTCCGATCTCCCTCTATACCCAGTACCTTCGCATGTCCGTACTGATCCAACACTCGACGCGGTCGATTCCCGTGGTCGCAGGCTAACTTACCCTAAAAAGGTAGAACTTGCCCCGAGGGGTCCGCAAGTCATTAGAAATCTACTGATGGTTGATTAGCAGGAAACCCGATAATGGATGCGTCCCTCTTGGCGCCACCTGCAGAGTTTGGGGCTCCGGGACCCTCGGGCTTCTAGTTTCCCGTGCCCCTTCGGCGGCACGCTCTCTTACCACTCTTCCGAGACCCTCTCCTCTCTGAATCTCAACGAAGAAAACTGCCAGCCCTTAGTAGGGGGTAAAGACTACTGCGACCTGGGCCTCCCCACAACGAGGGAAGCCTGTGTCCTTGTTGGCGTCGACGAATTACAAGGTACTGCTGGTACTGGAGGTAGAGGTGAGAGATGGCGAAAAAATCAGCCGTTCAACGCGCTCGCGACAAGGCGGACGCGGCGTAGGAAAATAGGCACGCCACAGGTTGCCAGTGGGCACGGTTGTACGGGGGCGTTGTGTAACCTCTGGCCAACGAGGGGTTATTACATGGGATTACATGGGGGGGTTACAGGCCGGGCGGGCATAACGTGCCGGGTTATGAACGCGGTTATGCGCGGGTTGGTGTGAACGAGAAAAGAAAAAAATATGTGAGATCTTCCCCTCCCTTCCTTTGTATTCCACTCTACGGTTGGGTTGATCAAGCGATACATCGGCAGACAACTTTCCTTACTTTCGAGATGATTAACGCAGGAAGAATACATTACCCCGGGGGGAACCGGCAACCTGTATCTACAGAGTTTAACGGTGTACCGCTACGCCATATGTCGAAGCATATCACGCCTTACCCGCAACTCCCATGAATCTAATAGTTTGTTATAGGCTCAAGAATTCTGGCATTATTTTTCTAATCTTCTACGAGAAAAAATGATGAAGACCCGAGACAATATAGATCACATGTAGACGAACCGTACCTCCACTCTTGTGGGTCCTGCCCCTACGATGTCCCTATACGATACTCGAATTCACGACTCAGCCAATCCGGTACGAGAATAGCCTCTTCCAAGCTATCTGAAAACCACGCCATTGTGCAGGCTGAGTGTACTGTTTTACTCTCATCTTCCTCCTGTAAGTCCCACGGAAACCGTTTCTGCTCCTTCTCCCGCTTCCCTTACGTACACCATGAACGCTCGCGACTTCCAACGCCCAGCCCGCTGAATCTGCAAGTCCGACACGCCTTGCGCGGCTAATTGCGTGGCGCCACCAATGCGACCCGAGTGCAACGCGTACTGTGCCGGATCCTTCCCTGCACAAGCAACCATCCTCCTCAGCGCGACTACAGCTTCCGCGCGAGTAACCACCTTCCACCCATTTGCACCCATCCTCGTCATCAAAGGGGCACGTCCGGGAAGGCTCCGGTGGACGTTCAGGAGCTCCACGATCGCTTCGAAGGCTCCGAAAGGCGCCCTACCAGGTTCCTCCGATCTCGGGCTGCGGGTGCGCGTGATCGTGCATCCCTCTCGATTCTGATCTGCTTTTGACGCCACGAAATGAATCCTGACTGAATCCGCGCGCGCTCTATCTTCAGTCTCCACTTGAATGTCTCCTTGAAAAAACCTCAAGCAGTCACGCGTCAAACAGAAATCTGGATGGACGAGGCCGTTCGCGTACGCGAACAATTCCGAAGCTCGGCACAAGAGAAAATACGACAGCGTCAGTCCTAACCAGAAAACTTTTCCTCCATCCGGAGCGCTCGCGACGGTATGGTAGCCTTGGGACAACATCGACCACGTGAGGGGCAGCCTCACTTGCGCTTGCTTGCCCGTCATCCCTCGAATGCGATCAATCCCTTTCCCTGCCGCCGTAATCATACAGTGCGACGTGGGAGGCTCCCACCCCGTACATAGCTTATGGTAAAACTTGATCGCTGCGAGGTATCCCCGAACTGTGGACTGCTGGTTGTTGAACGAAAACAAGCGACACGTCATAAATTCGAGGAGGAGCGCGACGATCTCGGACTCGTCCATCGAGTTCAACCACGGTTCTTTACCCTTGTGTTTCATAAAATCCAACCATGTCTTCCACTTCGCGGCGTACACCTTATGCGTGCTTCCCCCGATCGACGCGCTCACTAAAGTATCCACCAACCGCGCGACTTCCGTGCTCATCCCCTCTCCTTCCCGCCCTGTTCCTGAAGCGTCCGTAAGCGGAGGGTTCGAGGATAACGTTGGAGGTCACGGGGGTGTTTTGTCGATGAATTTTAGTGAGGTGTCATCATGAGATTCCATAACGTTCGATCGTGACGGGGTTGTAGGTTCTTTTTCTGCAGCACGAAGGAACACACTTTTTCTCCGCGTGAACCGAGTGGTATTTCGCGCCAATCGTTTGTGTTGGTGAATCTTTGGACCCTATCGGCTAGTTCCGACCTTGGCCATCGAGAAATCCCGTCCGCGAGCGTGTTTTTTACGCCCGGGATGTGTTTTGCCTCGTAACTCCATTCTCCCGAAATCTCGAGTCGTCCTAGCATTCTCATCATCAAACACGCGCGTTTGTCTCTGGCCCCGCCGCACCGGTTTGACCATGTGACGGCCGCCATGTTGTCACCTCGCATCAAGACAGGGTCGTTGTTGTTTTTTGGGCGATCCCCTACGAGGCTGTGCATTACCCAGGCGGTCATTACCATGCCCACGAGTTCGAGTAGATTGATCGTGACGCTACAGGTCTCCCGACGCGCGGCCTTTTGTTTCAATTCGGTTGCGAAGTCCAAGGGCAAGTCGTATCGCCAAAACACCCTTTTTTCTGGACAGAAGCCGCCAATGGCGTCGAAACTAGCGTCTGATAGATAAAGTCGTTTTGGCTGGCGTTTTACGACACCGTAGCACGGGGCGTTCAGCGACTCTCCAGCTGTGAGCAATTCGTGTTCGATTGCCCACCTGAAAAAATCTAGGTCGTCGTGGAACTCTCTCCCTAGTTCTACAACGTGGCTACAGTTTCTCGTGTGTTTCCTGTGGAGTC